CACACACACACGCCCCAGCGTGCCCGCCACGGTGCCCGCCAGAGCTCCCCACGGAGCCAGGTACCGGTAGGCTGAGGCCTCCCTAGTGCTTTGTGTATGTTCGGAGAGATGATGAAAGCAGGACGGTAAACAGCCACAGAGCAGGCCCTTGGCTGCTCATCAGCCCTAAGAAGCACCCCCCGCCCACCTGTCTCTACCGCTTGTCCCCCACTTTCATCCAAGGGGCAAGGAAACCTCTTGGGAGGCAGGGGTATAGCAGTTCCTGGGCAGCGACCTCTTAAGCCATTCCTCAGCTTCACAATGAAGTCACTGGGCCACCTGGCCTTGCACTGCCTTTGGTTTGGGGTTCAGAGGCTAGGACAGCTTTATATCTCTGGCCCCCCGGCTCGGAACTGGAGATAATAAGGTAGTGAACAAAGGGTTCAAAAAGCCTTACCTGACTTTTCTGTCAAACCTCTTCCTGGTGGTGTCTTTGTCTTTAGGCCTCGTTTAAAGGAACATCTATACATAGGGTTTTTCTGTGGAGATAGTCTGCCTCTTCCTTTTCACTATTCCCAGTTAGAGGTTCTGTTTCTGGTTTTCCTTCAGCTCCTCAGTTCTTCCTGCCCAGCTTTGCAGCCTGTCAGAAGTGTGATGGGTTGTTTAGGAGAACGCCCCTCTGATCCTGCTTATGGCCCTATCTCAGAGGTCTGTCTGAGTGTCAGAATCCTGACAAACAGCTGCTGGGTCTGTGGCTTTTGCCTGTACCCCAGCATGAGGCTCTGGTTCCCCAGCCTCTTCCTTTGACCTTTTTGGAAGGGAGATCAGTCTAGGGGCTTAGTCTCTGGCCCTGGGGGGATTGACAGCCTGTGAGCTTTCAAATTCAGCTTTCAAGTTCTTAGCTCTTTGTCAGTTACCTTTTCCTTCAAGGCTCTCTTTACATCTCCCACTGAGAAGAGCACTTTTCTCTGTGATTAGGGTTGAGGAAACAGGGGTCAGAAGGTAAAGAGAAAGTTAGCCTGTTGGCTCAGGTTTAAATTAGAACAGAAGGCTAGGATACTAGGTAGCATAATATGGAAATGTGTAAGAAGGCCCAGGGTTGCTTGTCTCGGATACAGTTTCCCCCGAAAGGATAGATGTTTTCTTGCTCTTTCTCACCAGGCTGGGTCTTAGTAGCTGGTACTTGCCATCTAGGAGAGCCTACGAAGACTTTTGTGCCCAGTTCCTAGTAGAAGCAGAATGCACAAACTCAGCTCTCAGTCTGTTTGCCTTGCCTCACTTCCTTGCACCTTTCGTATTAAGCTGCGTTCTAGGGGGGAGTCTTGGCCTTCCACAGAGTTACCCCAAGAAATACACTGTTGTCTTGCTTAGAGCCTCAAAGGTGTTGCTTCCATTGCCTGAACTTAAGGAACCTTCAGAATTTTACCACCTTCAGTGTTGTTAACTAGAAATCAGGGTCCTTCAACTCCAATTTCAGGGTGTAGCTGAGAAAGAATAGGAAGTCTCCGTGGCCTCCAATGCTGGCAGGTTGGGCTGGGGGCAGCAGAATGTCAACTTCTGGTGAGGGGCTTAGAAGGCTTCCCTTCTGCCATTTTCTTTATAGAAACTAGACATGTGGAGGAAGAAGAGCCTATTTTTTTCTACCCCAGATGTTTCTAGAGCTCCCTGGGAAGAAATAAGGGAGATAATGGACAATTCATCTGGAGTCTCCTTTTCTTACCTTTCCCTCTGTCTTCTTAGTATATACAAGCTGAACCACCCACCAACAAGTCCTTGTCTAGCCTGGTTGTACAGCTGCTACAGTTTCAGGAAGAAGTTTTTGGCAAACATGTCAGCAATGCACCACTCACTAAACTGCCGGTGAGTGCGAATGCATGGGGAATCCTCCAAACTGGAGAGGGAGTTGTGGGGGTTTTGTAAGTTTTATACTTTTTGAGATTTGAGTAATTTCCTATCATCCCTATCCCTGGTCAGGGCATTACTGGCTTGCCCTAGTCCCCAGTTTACCGCTCTCTTTGTCTTAGTGATACTTTGTGCAACAAGGCACGCCTGGGTGGCTCAGTCGTTGGAGCATGTGGGGGTTGTAACTTTAAGCCCCACATTGGGTGTAGAGATTACTTAAAAATAAAGTCTTGATATTTATGTATGTATGTATGTATGTATGTAGGCTCCACGGCTAGCATGGAGCCCAACACAGGGGTTGAACTCATGACCCTGAGATCAAGACCTTAGCTGAGATCAGGAGTCGGACACTTCACCGACTGAGCCACACAGGCACCCCTAAAATAAAATCTTAAAAAACAAATACTTTGTGCAGTAGGTTATCTCAGCGTGTCTGAGCTCATACGTGAAACTCTTGTGGCATGGTTAATGTTGACTTATTTTTGAGAGAGAGAGCGCAAGCTGAGGAGGGGCAGAGAGAGAGAGAGAGAGAGAGGGAGACACAGAATCCGAAGCAGGCTCCAGGCTCCGAGCTGTCAGCACAGAGCCCGACGTCGGGGCTGAAACTCACAAACTGTGAGATCCTGACCTGAGCTGATGTCAGACGCTTAACCGACTGAGCCACCCAGGTGCCCCCTCTTATGGCATGGTTAAAAGGGATTTGGATGAGATTTGGATTTGCACAGGCTTGTGTTCAAATCCTGGCTCTGCCACTTGGTGTTCTGTGATCTTGGGCAAGTCATTTAAACCTTTTGAGTATCTAGCCCTTCATCTCTAGATGGGATTAATATCTCTACCTTGTAGGGGTTCTGTAATGGGTGATGAAGTAACCAGTAAGTACGTGGCACAAGGTGGGGCCTTGTGAATACTGGTTTCTTTCTCCCCCTTCTTCCAGGCCACAAGATACGGTGGCATAAGGGTTAAAGAAGTCCAGCTTGGAGAGAGAGATTAGTTTTGCATGGGATTTTGTGAAAGGATTGTTAATAAGAGAATCTAGGATGTAACTCTCACATACTTTTTTCCTATTTCAATTTTTTAGATCAAATGTTTCCTAGATTTCAAAGCAGGAGGCTCCCTGTGCCACATACTTGCAGCTGCCTACAAATTCAAGAGTGACCAGGGATGGTGAGATGCCTTCTTCTCTGTGCTTCTTACATTTAGAGGGACTCCCCCTTTATGATTTTCTGGGGTCTTTCTGGGATGGGAGAACGTAGGTAGACCTTCTTGCGAGTCTCTTACTTTGCTAGGTCAGTAGGTGTGACTTGCTAGGTCAGAAAAATGGCTGAGAATCAGAGCCAAAATAGTGTCTAAGAGCAAGTGAGTATGTATGTGTGTATGTGTGTGTGCATCAATGTGTGTGTTGTAGAGGAAAGGGGATTCTTAGGTTGGCATCTCAAGCTTTTCTTTGTCCTTTTGGACTAAGTACAAATGATTCATGGAGTCGAGCTTAGTGAACCCCAGATCCCAGGCCACTTTGGCAACTGTTGTGAGCAAAACTGCTTTCTGATTTCCCATGCTGAAAAGTCATATACCCTAACCTCATCCTCAGACCTGATCTATAACACTCACTATAAGTTATTGCCTCTTTTCAAGGCGGCGTTACGATTTCCAGAATCCATCACGCATGGACCGCAACGTGGAAATGTTCATGACCATTGAGAAATCCTTGGTGCAGGTAATAGTCAAGAACCTCCCTTGTCCATCTCCTTTCCCTCAGTGAAAATCCAAATCACGCCTTTCCCATGATCCCATCCCATCTCTTTCTTCTCCCTACAGAATAACTGCCTGTCTCGACCTAACATTTTTCTGTGCCCAGAAATTGAACCCAAACTGCTAGGGAAATTAAAGGACATTATCAAGAGACACCAGGTGAGTGGGTGGGTCAGGCGAGCTTTGGAAACTCCATGACTGTCTTCCTGATCATTTCAATACAATAAGCAGCCCTCAGGTGACATGTTTTCTACTGCAGAGGTGCCTCTGCCTACTTGGGAAAAGACTAGGCTTAAAGCCTCGAGCTGCTTTTTCTCGTTTGCTTCTCCCACCTCCCAGTCTTGACAGGTTTAGATCACTGTTCCTAGCGGCTGCATTGGCCTGGGGGTACGGAAAGCCAGAGATTGCCTGATTTCAGAGGAATGAAACCTTTACTCTGGAACTCTATAATAACAAGCAGATATCACTGCTGGGGACATATAGTCAACTTTACATTTCCCATGTGTAGATTATCTGTTCAGAGGATTATCTGCAGCAACTTTTAGTTCTTTGCTTTTCTTCGTTATTAGCACAATCCCAGCCATTTCCCTCTGCCTCTCAGCTGTTGTGTGCTTAAAAAAGGCAAGCCAACTTTAATACCATTTTGAGCAGAATATGATTAGGAAGGCAGGTCTGTGGTTAAATCTTATTTTGGTTTATTTATACCCATGAGTAATTCGGAGGGCACCATATTTACCTACTTTTCCTTGTGCCATGCAGGGAACAGTCACTGAGGATAAGAGCAATGCCTCCCATGTTGTGTATCCCGTCCCAGGGAACCTGGAAGAAGGTGAGACCTGGGTTTTCTTGGCCACTGCAGTGAATGGCTTAGACTAGCAGTGGGGGCACTGCTCAGCCCCCGCACAGTGCCTTGGCACCTCCTCTTTCCTTTCAACTCTGAGCCCTCCTACTGCCTTATATCCCTATTTCCAGGTCCCTGGCTGCAACACAAATTGTGTACTGTTATTTTCTGTATGCCCCTTTAGCTTACATCTCTCCTTGTTCTGTTTTTACCCCCAGAGGAATGGGTACGACCAGTCATGAAGAGGGATAAGCAGGTTCTTCTGCACTGGGGCTACTATCCTGACAGGTGAGGACAGGGTCTTAGGGCAGGTTTAAGTATGAGAGCCAGACTGAGAAGCCCTAGAACATCTACCAAAGCAAGCAAGCTTTCTTTTGGGGTTATTTTTAGGTCTGTTAATTTGTTCTTCTATCTATTATGAGAATTTTGTCTTGGGAGAGGTTTGGACTTATTAAATGAGGCTTAGGCTAAAAAGATTGGGGCTTTATGTGTAAAACAGCTCTTCCAGTATAATTTATGATAAGTAAATGTTAGAAACAATCTAAATGTCTAACAATGGGAAAATGTTTCAGCAATTTGTTTATCTACTCAGTGGACTATTATGCAGCCATTGAACTGATAGAAATAACATGGATAATTTGTAGATAAATATTAAATGCTAAAAAGTAGGATTGTAAAATAACACTAGTGACATTGCAGTTATGTAAAAACAAAATGGTACAGAAAAAATTTACTGGGAAAAATATATACTGAACAGTTGTGTTAAAGGGACTCTTTTCTTTCTTTTTTTATTTCTGAAATTGTTTTTATTATTTTATAATGAAAATAATCCCGATATCAATTGGAAAGATAATCATACCAAAAAATAACCTAACAACCCAATACTTTTTTTGCAAATGAGAAAGGTAAAAGATTTGCACTTTACTTTTCCACAACTCCATCCCATTGATCTGACTTCACCAATTTCCTATGGCAGTTACGACACTTGGATCCCAGCCAGTGAAATTGAAGCATCTGTGGAAGATGCTCCAACTCCTGAGAAACCTAGGAAGGTGAGCATTTCTTGTCCCCTAAAGTACCCCAAAAAGTATCCCAGAGAGTGCTTGCCTGGCTCAGTTGGTAGACTGTGTGACTCTTGATCTCGGGATTCTAAGTTCAAGCCCCATGTTAGGTGTAGAGACTACTTAAAAATAAATTCTTAAAAAAAAAAAAAAAAGTGGTTCATACCAGGACCAGACCACCATTTGGAGATGAAGCACAGGCTCCTGTACCTTTCAGCTTTTCTGTTCGGGGTCCCCAGACAGAGCTGTGGCTTTCAGGCTTCTTTCCAGCACAGTCTGTCTTTGTACTTCAGGTTCATGCAAAGTGGATTCTGGACACAGACACTTTCAATGAATGGATGAATGAGGAAGACTACGAGGTGAATGATGACAAAAGCCCTGTCTCCCGCCGAAAGAAGATTTCAGCCAAGACACTGACAGATGAGGTTAAAATTCCTCTTCTTTTTACCTTGATCCCTTAATCTTGGAATAAGTCTTCAGTGGGGCTTGTTGGCTGACATTTGCTCCAATTCTGCAACCTGCAGGTGAACAGCCCAGATTCAGACCGACGGGACAAGAAAGGGGGGAACTATAAGAAGAGGAAGCGCTCTCCCTCTCCTTCACCAACCCCAGAAGCTAAGAAGAAAAATGCTAAGAAAGGGTATGCCATCCCCTACCCTGCCCCCACCTTCACCATTCTCTCCACACCATGTTGAAGGAAGGGAGGACAGATTCCTTCCCATAACCACCTGGCCCTGACCTGGGTAGGCCATATTCCTGTCCATGTCCTGAGAGGGACAATGAGGTCTTCTTTAGCTGCCTGGTTGTTATTCTGGTTGCAGCCACTAGTAGACTCAAAGAGAGCTAAATCTTCAAGTGCAAAGCCTTTGTACTTCCCAGTACTCTATAGTGATGGGTTTCTGGGTATGCTCAGTTCCATCTTTGGGATTCTCTCTTGCTTTGCTCCCCTTGAACCTCAACTTCCAGGGACTCTTTGTCCAAAGATGACTGGATTCTCTTTCACTCCCTTCCCTTCCCAGTCCCTCAACACCTTACACCAAGTCAAAGCGTGGCCACAGAGAGGAGGAGCAAGAAGACCTAACAAAGGACATGGATGAGCCTTCACCAGTCCCCAATGTAGAGGAGGTGACATTGCCTAAAACAGGTATGGGCCACAACAAACCCCTGGGACCCACCTTTGGAGAGGGCTGATTTCCCAGGCCCAGCTCCAGGTCTTAAGGAACTCTCCCTTCAGTTTAGCTGGTTATTAAAATTATTTTCATCACCATGGACAGTCCTGACATCATATCCATATCTGAGGTGTGGACTGTGCTTTACGCCTGACAGTAGTTGTCTCCAAACTGTTTTTGATCATGTACCCCCACCAGTAAAGTATTCAAGTATAAATTGTCCATGTCTACTGTTATTCCATTACTTTAGAAACACTATTAAATACATGCAAACATTACCTAAAAATGGGAAAATGTAAAAGATAAGATTAAAAAACAAATGTAAAGAGAAGTTCTATTCTTTGCCTGTATTCCAGTGGACCATGTTTTGTATCCTATGTGAGAACCCCACCTTGGAGATCATTGCTCTGTGGTGCTAAAGAGTTGTACAGTTGTAAATGTGGAATATGATCTGTATTCCATAGACAAGCTCAAATAATATCCAGGAGTGTATTTCAGGGGTGGGGGTGGGGGTACTGAGAGAGAGGAGTTCTGGCTTCCACCCCCTCATCAATCACAGCAGCTCTCTTCTGTATTCATGTTTTTTCCTGAGCTATTGGGTATGGATTCAGTTAAGGCAAGTCCTCTGCTTTAAAAAATGTTGAAGATCCTACCATTCCTCTACAGAGTGATTTGGTCAGACTCTGTCCATTAAGAATTTACAGACACATAGATGGAGATAAGGAGACCTGTCAAAGACAGAAATGATTTATGCACATCCATAGAGTAAAAGATGCTTCCTTATAGGTAAACAGTTAAGTGAATTTTGGGTGGGGGAAGGAGGGAAAATGGCGGGTGAGATTCAAGCCCTACAATGACTGTGCCTGGAGGCAGTTACTGTTTTTTGGGATTAGATGGACAGAAGTATTTGGAGAAAGCGAGATCTCTAAGACTTGTTAAAGGTGGAGAGGTAAGGGCTTGATTTGGGCAGAACCTGTCTGGTAAAATGACTCTCTTTCCTGGCAGTAAACACTAAGAAGGATTCCGAGTCAGCCCCAGTCAAAGGAGGCACCATGACTGACCTGGGTAAGAAGGAGAGGGGGCGCAGCTGTCACCTTCCCCTAGCCTGCCGCGGCTTTTCAGAAAGTAGGATTCTCCTGCCCCACAGGAGACTCCAACCTTCTATTTTACTGCCTCTCTCTTTCAGATGAACAGGAGGATGAAAGCATGGAGACCACGGGCAAGGTGCAGCCAGTTTAGAGAAGCCTTCTTTACCTCTCTATGGGATTCTGATTTGTGCTTATAAAGTTCCTGATACTCAGAACTTTCCATCGCCCCAAGTTTTCCCACCTTAGACTAGTTCTAGCTATTGTTCAAAACTCAAAACTCTGACCCTTTCCAAGTTCTGGGCCTATATTCTTCATTCGCATACCCATCCTCAGTGCCCACGTTCCTGGGGTGTGGGAGAAGCAGAGGGTCGCCAGGGGCAAAATGGGAATGCTGTGTGGCTAGCAGCCTCTGTACTTGTAGGATGAGGATGAAAACAGTACGGGGAACAAGGGAGAGCAGACGAAGAACCCGGACCTGCATGAGGACAATGTGACTGAACAGACCCACCACATCATTATTCCCAGCTATGCTGCCTGGTTTGACTATAATAGGTATTTTTTCTCCATCTTCTCATGCCTCCCTATTTCCTTGCCTTCTCTTCCTGTCTCCAAATACGTTATTTCTTCATTAGCCAGACAGACTGGGGTATATTTCAGTTTTAGGGGAGCTCCTGGTCTCTTTGAGTCTTACAGCCCTGTGAGAAGTTCTCCTCAAGGAACGAAGCACTGTGTTCTCCCTCCCTCCCTTCTAGCTTTTACCTCTCTTTGGGGCTCTCATCTCCACCAGCGTCTTCTTAATCGATTCCGTTTTCTCTTACAGTGTTCATGCCATTGAGCGGAGGGCTCTCCCTGAGTTCTTTAACGGCAAGAACAAGTCCAAGACTCCAGAAATGTAAGGGCATCTCAGCTCATGATTCTCTTTCTCCCTCCTGTCCCTGATCAGCTTTCCTGATCTAGCACCATCCAGTTTGGCAAATATTTCTTGAGCTTCTTCTATGAGCCAGGCACTATGGTACTCTTACAAAGACACGATCTCCACCCACAGGAAGCCCTAGCCCAGCACTGTGGCCTCAGTAGCATGCTCTCTGTGATTTGCCTGGGGGCAGTATTAAGCATGGTTTTCTGTACAAAATGGGTACCTGCTCTGATGCCTCCATTTCTTTCAACAGAATACAGAGCCTTCCAATCCATAGTTACTAAGATATCTAAAATGCAAATACTGGGGCGCCTGGGTGGCTCAGTCGGTTGGGCGTCTGACTTCGTCTCAGGTCATGATCTCGTGGTTCACGGGTTCAGGCCCCACATCGGGCTCTGTGCTGACGGCTCAGAGTCTGGAGTCTGCTTTGTGGATTCTGCCTCCCTCTCTCTCTGCCCCTGCCCAGCTCATACTCTGTCTCTCTCTCTCTTAAAAATAAATAAAACATTTCAATAAAATAAAATAAATAAATAAATAAATAAATAAATAAATAATAAAATGCAAATAGCATAAATAATAGCTTTGACTAAAATGTAAGTGACTATTACCAGGCTGGTCTCGAAGAGTAGGTTTTAATAGAAAAACAAGAGGAAGAGCTCTGAAGTTCCAAGCCTTTGAATTAAGGGATGGAGAGGGCTCTCTGGAGAGAAGTGTTATGTAAAGTGCAGGCTTGGGGCTTGGAAGTCTCTATCTTCTTCAAGGTGTTGCCTCAGGCTAAACCTGTTTGGCTTTGGATGAGTCTTGACAATCTTCTATGGTTAGAGGTGCTCCAGGAGAAATACCACGATGAGAAGGGTGAGAAAGCTTTGATCCCCCTAAGAACTGAACGAGCCTGCTTCTCAGATGTTCCTTAGCTTCCCCTCTTTGGGGCCATCTTGCCTTCCCACTGTGTTTCTTTCCCTGTAGCCTGTGGTTCTCTTCTCTTCCTGGGGAAAGCAGTATAGGACGAAGCCTTGCTTTCTCCAAAGGAAAAGGCAGTGGTGACCCAGTCACATGAGTTCAACATAGTCTGTAGGCAGGGTTGGATTTAGAACTGTTCTACACTTTGCGGTCTTGATGTAAGATAGTAAATAGTGATAATTGCCTGTATCTATTGAAAGTTTATCTCCCAGACACTATCCTATGTGTCTTACATGCATTGACTAATCTTCACATTACCTTTAGAGGTAGGTCCTATTATCCTCTCCAGTTAACTGATTAGGAAACTGAGGTACAAAGAGGTTAAGTCACTTGATTAAGATCACACAGCCAGTAAGTAGAAAAACCAGGATCTGAATCCTTTATACTGGCTCATGTTCTCAAACTTTATGGCACACCACATAATAGCTACCATTTACTGAACTCCTGAAATGTGCCAGGCACTGTACTAGATGTCTGTAGACGTTTCTATTCTTCAGCAGATACTCCACTTTACAGATTAGGAGACTGAGGTTCAAAAAACTTAAGTAACTTGCCCAAGGCCAGGTAGAACTGGGATTTGAACTTAGATCTTTCCACCTTCAAAACATATATTATTTTTTATTCTTTTATTTTATTTTATTTTTTTTAGTGAGCTCTACACCCAGTGTGGGGCTTGAGCTCATGACCCCAAGATCAAGAGTCACAGGCTCTATCAACAGCCAGATAGAGCCTGTGACTCTTGATCCCTGGATTGTGAGTTCAATTGAGTGTAGAGCTTAATTAAAAAACAAAAACATATATTCTTTATACCACATCATGTTGACTAGTTGGAGGCATGGATAGACCTCCCCTTAACACCTGTCTTTGGAAATAAAGGCACCTTTCTTCTGTTTTTATTACTTGTTCAAAGGCTGGGTAAAACTCCCCTAACTACAGCCAAGGAGATAATTCATTTCGCTAAAAACCCCCCATCAAGGAAAATGTAGCAGTGTTTGAAGCCCTCACATCTAGTAAACCCTCAGTGTTTGCCGAGGCAAATGATCTGCTCTTTCCTCTTTGTCGCACAGGAGGGATCGTCAGCCCTTTTATCACTTTTCCTACCCTTCAGTCCTCAATGGACTTATTTTTTCTTCCTCTTGTTCATCTTTCTGTCTCTCTCCGAAGCTACCTGGCTTATCGAAACTTCATGATTGACACTTACCGGCTGAACCCCCAAGAGTATCTTACCTCCACTGCCTGCCGCAGGAACCTGGCGGGTGACGTCTGTGCCATCATGAGGTGGGTCTGCAGCTGAGGGGAAGGGGGTGCATAAGGATGTCTGCCCACAGATGTCTCTTGGCAGAAGGGGGGCTGCCAGCAAGGAGCGTAGGGGAATAAGAAGGAAAAAAAAAAAAACACCTCTAGAGAAAGGCAGAGTTCATATTCAGGGCACGCGTGACTTGAGGGAATGGCAGTGGCATTCTCTGGCACGTGGGAAAAAGGAGAAGGAGTACGTCTGTAGTTGAAGGATCCTGCTTCGATTTTACTGGCTATCCAGGAGAAGAGGTCTAGTAGGTGAGTGGTTATGGAGAGAGGTCCCCGCTGGATATGTAGGTAGACCTGGGGGTCACTGGCATTTAGGGTGTGGGAGGAGATGGGATCTCCCAGGGAGCAGAATGAGCAGAGAAGAGGGCTGAGGAGAGGGAGTGTTATGCCCCACTTCTGCCCCTTTCTGGCTGTCCCATGTGACCCTGTCTCCACCTCTCTCCTCCCAGGGTCCATGCCTTCCTAGAGCAGTGGGGTCTTATTAACTACCAGGTGGATGCTGAGAGTCGACCAACCCCGATGGGGCCTCCGCCCACCTCTCACTTCCATGTCTTAGCAGACACGCCGTCAGGGCTGGTGCCTCTGCAGCCCAAGACACCGCAGGTAGGGTGAGGGGCTGTGGGGCAGGGTCGGGTTGGGAGAAACTGGGCTTCTTTGGACTTTTCTTTTTCTGGTTTTTTAGGGTAATGGTTCAGGAGTGTTTTGAGGCTTCTTCCTTTTCCATGGGATGCAAAGGGCCACAGGAATCAGCCCGTGTGTTTAGCACCCTCTCTCAGCCTCTGTACCTGAGACTGTGAGGACTTGCTGAGGGAGAAGAGATGCTCCTTGTTCTTGAGGAGCAGACAGGCCAGGGTAGGGCACGGAAGAGATAGAGAAAGATGGCTGAAAATGAAGTTGCATGAAATTTTTTAACTTTGTCATGTTTCCAACATTTTTTTTTCCGTTTTTGCCTCATAATTATGATCACTTCCATTTTTTTCCACTTCCATTTCATACATTACAAAAATTAAGAGAAGACAGAATATGTGGCTTGCCCAAGATCACAGAGTACCAAATCTAGGATTAGAACCTAAATTGTCCAGCTCCTAAGGGAACCTGTAAAGATATTTGTGAATATAAATGGGTATCATGCCAACTACAGATCTAATTAATCATTAAGGGAAAATGGAACAGTGGCATGAGTGCCCCCAGAGCTTGCGGGCCGCCCAGCATTTGGTCTTGAGGCCTCCAGGGCCTTGGCCTGGTCATTTCCTGCCCAGCTTCCATGACGCCAAGCTCTGTCTCCCAGGGCCGCCAGGTTGATGCTGATACCAAGGCTGGGCGAAAGGGCAAAGAGCTGGATGACCTGGTGCCAGAGACGGCTAAGGGCAAGCCAGAGCTGGTAGGTGGGGTGTAGACCCCGCTGGGCTTCTTATTTGCCCCTTTATTGGGGGGCCCCTGCTCGGGGAAGAAGAGACATGAGAGCAGAGGAGCTACAGCAGTGAGGGAGGAAGTCCCACTCAGGGGTGTCCCTGGCTTTGGGAAGGAAACTCCTTCTGTCTGTTTTCTCTCTCTGTCTGCCCCTAGCTCCTGCGGTCACTTGTACTCACCTCTTTCTTTTCCCTCCACAAATAGCAGACCTCTGCTTCCCAGCAAATGCTCAACTTCCCTGACAAAGGCAAAGAGAAACCAACAGACATGCAGAACTTCGGGCTGCGCACAGACATGTACACAAAGAAGAACGTCCCCTCCAAGGTACGGGGGTGTGGGCCAACTTCAGGGGTGGAGCACCTTCACTCTCTGGAAGTCATGGCCTCCTCTCTCTGACCTGCATGTTTCTCCTGCAGAGTAAAGCTGCAGCCAGTGCCACTCGAGAGTGGACGGAACAGGAGACCCTGCTACTCTTAGAGGTAATTTGGGCAAGGAAAGGAGAGTTCTATGAAAACAGAAGTGGCCAGGGTGCCAGCTGCACCTGTGAGTGCAGAGAGCGTGATCTTGTCCCCAGTGTGTCTCCTCCCCGCTGCCTGCTGCACCTGCCCCAGGGAACAGCTCCAGGCCAGGCATTTGGGCCATTTCATTAACTCCATATCCTTTCTTAGTGCTACTTGGAGATTCCCCTGGGACCCAGCAGACTCCACAAACACCACAACACAGAGATCTTTGAAGCCCGCTACCCTTAGTAGGATGGGGGGAGTTGACCTTCAAGGAAAGTGGCTAAGTAAGGAAGTTGTGTCTCCACCACTACCACCAGGCACTGGAAATGTACAAAGATGACTGGAACAAAGTGTCAGAACACGTGGGAAGCCGCACGCAGGATGAGTGCATCTTGCATTTTCTTCGTCTTCCCATTGAAGACCCGTACCTGGAGGACTCAGAGGCCTCCCTGGGCCCCCTGGCCTACCAGCCTATCCCCTTCAGTCAGTCAGGCAACCCTGTTATGAGCACTGTTGCCTTCCTGGCCTCTGTCGTCGATCCTCGAGTCGCCTCTGCTGCTGCGAAGTCGGCCCTAGGTAATGTGGAGGGGTCCTGGCCTCTTTGGTTTGAAGGGCTGGTTACTCAGACCTTGAAAGCCCCTCCAGTTTGGCTGCCTTGCTGGCGTTGTCTGCTGCTGGCGTCAGCTCAGGCACCTGTCTAGCTCCGTGCTGGTCTAGATGAAGAGATGGGTTTGTGAGGCCGCTTTCATAGGGACAGTTAGAACTGCCTGCCTGCCCCTGCCCCAGCCTTGTCCTCTCTGGATCTTGCAGAAGAGTTCTCCAAAATGAAGGAAGAAGTACCCACAGCCTTGGTGGAGGCCCACGTTCGGAAAGTGGAGGAAGCCGCCAAAGTGACAGGCAAGGCGGACCCAGCCTTCGGTCTGGAAAGCAGTGGTATCGCTGGAACCACCTCTGATGAGCCTGAGCGGATCGGTAAGACCTGGAAAGTTCCCAGAGTTCTCCCCTGTCACGAAGACCCAGAGCCACCTCATATCCTTTTGCTGTCCCTGCTTCGAGTTGTCGAATGGGGACAATTGGCAGGGTTTTTATTTTCCCCAGGACTCCATCTTAGGGACTGTGGCTCCCTGCCAGTCCTGTCACTAAGAGTTTGGGTAGGAGAGGGGGCTTTTGGAAAAGTGTCCCAGAGACGGTCTCTGTATCAGACATTTCCCATTTCCTCTTCCCACGGGCCTAGAGGAGAGCGGGACTGATGAGGCACGGGCAGAGGGCCAGGCCACAGAGGAGAAGAAGGAGGCCAAGGTATAGTGTCAATGAGCTGGGCTGGGAGGGTGGAGGTGCTGGGGTGGCACGGTGGGGAAGGGGGTGCTGGGCTTAGGTGGGGCTGTTGTCTGGAGTACAGGTACCTCCAAACTGCGGGGTGAAAATTCATTTCCCAGTCTGGGCCCTTTGTGTGAGTAGCAGCTACCCTGATATTGTCTACTTTTCTTTCACTGGGACTTCAGGAGCCCCGAGAAGGAGTTGGGGCTGTCGAGGAAGAAGCGAAAGAGAAAACCAGCGAGGTTCCCAAGAAGGATGAAGAGAAAGGGAAGCAAGGTGACAGCGAGAAGGAGTCAGAGAAGAGCGATGGGGACCCAATAGGTGAGCTTCCCAGCATGGTGGTTGGGGGTCCAGGAAGGAAAAGTGGGGCTGTAGGGCTGACCCCACCTTTTTTCTGACGCAGTCGACCCCGACAAGGAGAAGGAACCAAAGGAGGGGCAGGAGGAGGTGCTGAAGGAAGTGGTGGAGTCAGAGGGGGAGAGGAAGACGAAAGTGGAGCGGGACATCGGCGAGGGCAATCTCTCCACCGCCGCTGCTGCTGCCCTGGCTGCCGCCGCTGTGAAGGCCAAGGTGAGGGCCAGAGACCCAGAAGACCCCCCAGGGATGGAGCTGCCCCCTTCTCTGATCTCCCTTCATCTGGAGGAAATCTTCCTGTGCTCCTCACTTCCATGATCCTGGTCTGTTTTCTTCTCATTTTGATCCTGAGAGGGAGAGTTGGTCATCTCTTTTCTAAGCTTCTTGAAGCTTTTTAGCATTAGGCCTGTTTTTACCCTCTAATTATTTGATTTTGTCTTATCCTTTGCTACTCACTCTCTTTTTTTTTTCTTTCATATTCTTTTAAGAATATGAATGCTTTGCTACTCTGTGGGTTGTGACCACAGCAAGTTCTTTCTTAAAACCTGCCAGCTTCCACCTTGCCACCCTCTCCCTGGCATGTCTCCTGCGGGGCCCTCCCACTCATGTGTTGCCCTCCCTGCCTTCCCTAGCACCTGGCCGCCGTGGAGGAGAGGAAGATCAAATCGCTGGTGGCCCTGCTGGTGGAGACCCAGATGAAAAAGTTGGAGATCAAACTCCGGCACTTTGAAGAGTTGGAGACGATCATGGACCGGGAGCGAGAGGCAGTGAGTAGCATCCCCTGCTGGCCAGTGGAACCTTGCCTCTGAGCTATACCTTGGTTCAGGATGGGGGTGAGCAACAGTGCAGAAAGCCTGAGAGTAACAGGGCTTCACAGCAGAGGAGCAGGAGGAGTTAACTCCAGGCAGTTAAGGACAAGTGACCCACAGGTGAAGCTTGGAGCCTGAGGTCCCATAGAATGTTAGCATCATGGGGCAGAGATCTTAGTTGTTTTTGTTTTTTGTTTTTGTTTTTTAATTTTTTTAATTTTAGAGAGCATGAACAAGGGAGAGGGGCAGAGAGAGAGAGAGAGAGAGAGAGTCTTAAGCAGGCTTAAGCGTGGAGCCTGACTCGGGGCTTGTTCCCTGGGCACTGGGATCATGACCTGAGCTGAAATCAAGAGTGGGACACCCAGCCAACTGAGCTGCCCAGCCCAGGCACCCCCTGGTTTTTTTGTTTTTTAAATTTAGTTATTTATTTATTGGGAGCAAGAAAGAGAGAGCAAGACACAAGCAGGGAAGGGACAGAGGGAAAGGGAGAGAGAATTTTAAGCAGGCTCCATGCCCAGCTCTAAGCCCATTGCAGAGCTCATGACCTGAGCCAAAATCAAGAGTTGGACGCTTAACCATCTAGTTATTTTTTTGATTGCCTCATTTCCAGGTCCTCGACCAGTGTTTTACCCATTGTAGAGTGTGAATATCGTTGAATGAGTGAGCAGGTTTAAGGGATGATGAGAGGGAGGGGGCTTCAGATCCAGGAGGTAAACTTGGAAGGGGGATGGGATGGACAATGTATTAAACCATTTTTTTAAAAATTTTTATGTATTTTGAGAGAGAGAGAGAGAGAGAGCGCGCACATACAGACAGGGGAAGGGCAGAGAGAAGCAGAGACAGAATCCCAAGCAGGCTCTGCACCATCAGCGCAGAGCCTGATGTGGGGTTTGAACTCACAAATGTGAGATCATCACCTGAGCTGAGATCAAGAGTCGGACGCTTAACCAACTGTGCCAGTCAGGCACCCCAAACCATTTTGTTTTTGAGACCATATAAAAAGAAATAGAAAACAGGGATCCTAACCTCAGAGAACCTGCAGTTTAATTGGAGATATCCAATATTCAATACAGAGGCATCAAAAAGTGAATGCTTAAAGTATCTGACAAATTCAAATTAAAAGATTCTAAATCACGTATATAAGTCCTGAGATATAACAAAATAAAGGCAAAGCTCAGAGGCTAATGAGTTGATCTGGGATGGCTTCCTAAAAATGGTGAGTGTTTTAGCCAATTTTGGGGGAAGAAAACGCAAGTTGACAAGAGGAATTGGAAGCGTTTTCCAAATGAACATAATGTCAGATTCAAAGCTTCAAAGCTGAAATGAGTAAGGGTCCCCACTAGATTAACTCCACTGTAGTGAGAAGCCATGTGGGCAGCCAGAAGACATGGTCATGGGAATTCTTAAGGGGAGGACAGGGGAGGGCAGGGCAAGCCCAAGCACAAGATTTACATGTGTTGTGGGGAACTGCCAGAATGAGAGGCTGGATTTGTCAGAAGACAAAGCAGGGGGCAAGGTGTTTGCCTTTGTGATCTTGTGAACGTGGGTAACGGTACTCAATTGGCACTGGCAGCTGGAGTATCAGAGGCAGCAGCTCCTGGCCGACAGACAAGCCTTCCACATGGAGCAGCTGAAGTACGCAGAGATGAGGGCCCGGCAGCAGCACTTCCAACAAATGCACCAACAGCAGCAGCAGCCACCACCAGCCCTGCCCCCAGGCTCCCAGCCTATCCCACCTGCGGGCACTGCTGGGCCACCCGCAGTTCACAGCTTGGCCATGGCTCCGGCCTCTGTGGCCCCTGCTCCTGCTGGCAGCGGGGCCCCTCCTGGAAGCATGGGCCCCTCTGAACAGATTGGGCCCGCAGGGTCAACGGCAGGGCCGCAGCAGCAGCAGCCAGCTGGAGCCCCCCAGCCTGGGGTGGTTCCGCCAGGGGTACCCCCCCCTGGACCCCATGGTAAGTTCTGGGTTCTGGAACCCTTGCTGATTAGAGGGCTCCCTCAAAAGGGATCTGTGACAGGACTGGAAATTTCTGCAGATGGGTTCTCTCTCACCTCTGTTATATCCTTGAGACAACAGCAATCCTGCCCCAGACCCAGAGCTTTGGAATTTTATTCCAGGGATTTATCACTTATTCTCGTATCAGGAAAAGTGGTGCTGAGGAGTGGCTAGGTTATCCTTGCTGGGACAGTGAGTTGGTAAGGGAGGTTTTATGCCTCTAACCTCCTTGGTCTCTCCTCTGTGTTTCCAGGCCCCTCACCGTTCCCCAACCAACAAACTCCTCCCTCAATGATGCCAGGGGCAGTGCCAGGCAGCGGGCACCCAGGCGTGGCGGGTAATGCTCCTTTGGGTTTGCCTTTTGGCATGCCGCCTCCTCCTCCTCCTCCCGCTCCATCCATCATCCCATTTGGTAGTCTAGCTGACTCCATCAGTATTAACCTGCCCCCTCCTCCTAACCTGCATGGGCATCACCACCATCTCCCGTTTGCCCCGGGCACTCTTCCCCCACCTAACCTGCCTGTGTCCATGGCGAACCCTCTACATCCTAACCTGCCGGCGACCACCACCATGCCATCTTCCTTGCCTCTCGGGCCGGGGCTCGGATCCGCCGCAGCCCAGAGCCCTGCCATTGTGGCAGCTGTTCAGGGCAACCTCCTGCCCAGTGCCAGCCCACTGCCAGGTGAGAAGGGTCCTGGAGGGGAGAAGGGTGAGGGAGAGGGGTTACATGGAGGGATGGGGGGCAGGTAGGGGGAAGGGCTTAGGCACGAGAACTCCACAATCCTTTTTGAACGCTCTGGTAAATTAGAATACAGGGGGAAGGGCCTCTCTGGCTGTCCTCCACCAGTCCCCACCCTGGCAGCTGCCACCTCTGGGATGACGTTGGGGCCTTTCACTGGTGGGTCACGGAGGAGTCCTAAGGCACAGCATCTCAGTTGTAAACTTGAAAAACAGCTACCTGTTTGCATGATGATTGGCATCCCCTTTGCTTGTTCCCATCACGTTCGAATGCCCCATTTAGAGAGTTTCCTTGGGGGCAGGAAGATTTGGGGTATTTCAGTTTTCCCAGTATGAGGTGGGAGAGGGTGTTGGGAAATGAAGTTGTACATTGTGGGTACCTCAGTCACCTACCCACCCATTGCATGCCATGCCCAGTTCTGTTTGTCTGTGGTGGCCTGGGTCTGGATCTCTCTCCTGCTCACCCTAGCTGATTCGTCTTCCTTTTCTCCACAGACCCAGGTACCCCCCTGCCTCCAGACCCCACGGCCCCAAGCCCAGGCACAGTCACCCCTGTGCCACCTCCACAGTGAGGAGCCAGCCAGACATCTCTCTCCCTCACCCCCTATGGAGATCAAGGTTCCAGGAACAGCCCTCTCCCCACCACTGGGACCCTTCCCCAGCCTGGAGAGTTCATCACTACGTAAGGAAAGCTCCTCCTGCCCCTCCAAAGCCCCCGCCATGCCTGTCAGGGGCATGCATTTTTATATTGGATTATTCAAGGACTTCTGTTTAAAAGATGTTTCTAATTTCTGGGAGAGAGGATAGGATGGGGATGCTGCCCTTGAAGAAAGGGCTGGGGAAAAGTGTTTCTACAAGGTTCTAATTAACCACTTCTAAGGGTGCACCCCCCTCAAAGCTACTGCATTTTTTATGGATAAAACAAAATTAAGCCCTTTAAAGGAAGTAGAGAAAAAAGCCACATTGCAGCTTCCTCCACCCACTCAAAACAAAACAAAACAAACAAAAAAAACCACCCCACCCAACTTTTACATTTTTTGGAGGAGGGAGGTGACAGGAAAGGGGGATTTAAGGTTCTGGGAGAGCTCTGGGGATAGAATAGGGTGCCGAATCTGTCTCTTCCAGCCCCCCCGTTAGTGACCGAATCAATTCCCCACCCCCCTCAGCCGCCCCATCCCCAGTTTATTCCTACTAATCTCTCCTGCTGCTTCCTCAGTGTTGCTGTTCTAGGCCACCCCAGCTCAGCCAATGACCCCTTTCCCTCTGAATGTCAGTTTTGTGTTTTTAAAAGTCACCTGCGTAGTTGATGTCAGCGTATGTGTATTTGGTGGGGAAACATATTTTGGGGATTCCTGTGGTAGGTAATAGAGGAAGAAAGGGCACTGTTCTTCCTCCTCCCTGGGCCCTGTCACTGGGCTCCTAGAAGACATGGAGAAGGGAACTAGAGAGGATGGGGAGTTGTTAACCTGAATTTTTCAAAAAGCACTTAAGCACCTCCTTATGACTTGGTGGGTCACCCCTCTAACCTCTTCCCTCTTCCCCCAGTACCATCAGAACCTTGACTGGTAGCTAGGGGTTCCCTGGGATTTAGGGACAGTGGAGGGGTGCCCGACCTAGGGTAGTGCCTACTGCCAGCTTGCAGCTAGGCTCTGCTCCCTGGATTCCACTGCCTCCCCTACCGTCTCTCCCTTCTACATCCTTGATGTGAAGGCAGATGGGACTCCAGGCTCGCCACCAGTTCCTTCCCGGTCCCTCCCACCAAGCTTTGTTCCTCACGTCCCGTGTTTCTCTTCCTCTGCGTCTTCGCACCTTTCTTCTGTTCAAAAGTTTTCTGTAAATTTTTTTCTTTTCTTTTCTTTTGTTTTCTTTTTCTTTTTTCTTTCTTTCTTTTTTTTTTTTTT